CATGACCCCAAAATGATTTTGGGATGTTTGCATGGCTCATCATAGATCGCACCATATTTAACAAAGTGCGATTCCTCCGTTCAGATACACCATTATGTTGCGGTGTATATGGCGGAGTCCACTGCGAGAGAATCCCATTCTCTTTAAGATAATCTAAAAATTCTCCCTTTAAATATTCTCCACCTCGATCTGATCTTAGCGTGAGTATATTTTTACTAGTTTGTTTCTCTACTTCAAGTTTGAATTCCTTGAACTTTTCAAGTGCTTCATGCTTGAATTTCATCAGATATATATAACCATATCTAGAATGATCATTAGTGAATGTGATAAAGTAAGAGAAACCACCTCTGACAGTTATTGACATGGGTCCACATACATCAGCGTGTGTATATTTTTACCAATTTGTTTCTCTACTTCAAGTTTGAATTCCTTGAACTTTTCAAGTGCTTCATGCTTGAATTTCATCAGATATATATAACCATATCTAGAATGATCATTAGTGAATGTGATAAAGTAAGAGAAACCACCTCTGATAGTTATTGACATGGGTCCACATACATCAGCGTGTGTATATTTTTACCAATTTGTTTCTCTACTTCAAGTTTGAATTCCTTGAACTTTTCAAGTGCTTCATGCTTGAATTTCATCCTCGCATCTGTCAAATGATTCAAAATCAGTTGACCTTAAGTATCCATCTTTATGTAACTTGGAAATGCGTTTGTCGTTAATATGACCCAATCTGCAATGCCAAAGGTATGTATTATTTAGATTATTACTTTTATACCTTTTATTTTCTATACTCATAATAGACGACTTAGTATCAAGAATATAAATACCATTTTACAACACACTACAACCATAAAAGATCTCATCTTTATAAAACGAACAACGATTGTTCTTAACATTAATTGAAAAACCATTCATGTCTAAACACGAAATAGAAATAATGTTTTTAGTAATGGCGGGAACAAAATAGCAATTTTCTAATTCCAATACTAAGCCTGAAGGCAGTGGTAAGAAGTATGTCCCTACAGCTAATGCAGCAACTCTTGCTCCATTTCCCACGCGCAGGTCAACTTCTCTTTTCTACAGTGGTCTACTTCTTTTTAGTCCCTGCATATTTATTCAAATATGAGATCCACATCCGGTATCTAATACCCAAGAAGCTAATGAAGTAGACATATTAACCTCGATAACAAAAATACCTGAAGTAGAAGTTTCAGAAGACTTCTTTCCCTTCAAGCTTGCGAGGTAAGCCTTGCAGTTCCTCTTCCAATGACCTTTCGCTCCACAGTGATAGCATAGGTCATCAGATTTAGTATTGTCCTTGCCTGCTTTGACTGCTTTGTTATTGCCCTTAGCCTTTTTGGATGTTTTCTTAAAACTTCTTTTGATTTTCCTCTTAGTTCCCTTGGAGGAATGAATAGCTAAGACATGCCCAGTGCTAGCCTTGACATTGGGCTCCACAGTTTTAAGAATATTAAGCAACTCAGGGAGTGTGCATTCGATCTTATTCATATTAAAGTTCATAATGAACTGTGAATAACTATCTGATAGAGATTGCAGAATCAAGTCAATACTTAGTTCATGATTCATGATAAAACCCAGTGAACTCAGTTTTTCAATGAAACCAATCATCTTCAGCACATGAACACTGACTGATGATCCCTTTGCTATTTTGCACCGGTATAGTTGTTTAGAGGTCTCAACAGCAAGAAAAAATGTTCAAGGTTTGCTATTGTGTCCTACAGAGACATCTGATCCGAACTCTGAGGCACATATCTATCAAAAACTACTTGATTTTTAACAAGAAACAAAATTAAGATTTGATTTGTAAACTTTAGTTTCGTTTTATAGGACAAAATGGAGGAGCTCAAATGAATGAGTTGAAGGTGAACATGGAGGAGAAAGTAAAACAAAATTCGGGTGAGACCTTGATAACGTAAATTTTGTGAAAATTTTTATTGCTTAAAAGTCGAATGAACAAATCAATTTCTTTTGACGAAGAAAATGAACAATGTTTTATTTGTTTTTAATTGATCGTGATTAATAATTTTCTGACATAGATAGAAAATTCATATACGTGTATTGGCTATGCAAAAAATTTCAATTTGGTGAGTTTTACGCATCAAATACTTTAATTTTACATATATATGGAAGGTGAATTTTTCAACTGTGGGTTCTTTAATGCTGCTAGATGCAAAATTCAGGTTTTTCCAGAGTTGTGTAATTCATTAGTCCCTCTTTCTTGTTGAACAATTTCCTCAAGTTCCTCCAAATCCATATCTGGAGCCATAGCTTGCTCATTTTCGTGCACTTTATCTGAGATTATATGTTCATTGGAGTTCGCGTTGTCATTATCATGATCAGGATCATCATGCGTGTTATTCTCGTGTTGTTTGATAACTTCCTCGAGTTCTTCCAAATCCATTTCTGGAGCCATAGATTGATGAACTTGATTTGCACTACTAACGGGAACATAGTCTTCATCAGAGTTTTGCTTGAAATCTTCTTCCATTGATGGCTCCATTGGTGCACTAGGTTGTGGTTGTGGCCTAATCAGTTGTTCCATGCTCGCCCCTATTGAGGCGTTCTCTGAATTCATTTTTGGAGGACTCTCAGATCCTCCAGATTCAGGACCCATTATTTGATTCTGTCCTTGGTGTGCTTTTTTTCTTCGTATTAACCAGTATACGAGAGCCACAAGTATCAGAATGACAAAGAGAGATAATCCCACTGATAGTCCAATGATTAAGGCTGTAGCACTTTTATTCTTGTGAGAAGCATCTAAATTTGTATTTCCTTCGATGCTGCGGAGTTCAAATGTTAAGGATACAAACATAGTAATGATAGTATGTTTTCTTGTTTGAAAGTGGTAAAAGGGGTATACTTACTTGTATGTAATTCTTTTATTGTTGGATATGCTAGAGGGAATTTGTCCATAGAAATTATTATATCCCAGGTTACTTGAGAGAAAAAAACAAAGGATTGGACATGTCAAAACTCAATTACATGGGAATGTTTTCTCCATCTATGTCTAAACTACATCACAGTTCTAAAAGTTGGACTTACAGTGTCTTTAGATTTGGTAGATTTCCGAGGAACTCTGGAATCTGTCCTTGAAGACTGTTGTTACTCAGATCTCTGCAACAATAATAACGAAAGAAACAAAAATTATTTTGAGTAATATGGGATTTAAAAAATTGAGAATTATTTAGTTTTATGTGTACTAAGGACTTGCATGTTTACAAGGGCCTGCATTTGGCTAAAATCTGGAAGGAAGCCACTCAGATTATATCCGGACAGATTTCTGCAGAAGTTTTGAAAAACTTTAGGTCATCAGTTGCAATGGAATTTCCTGTCAAGATTGCATGATAAAATGTACGTATAGATAAGTAGACGAACAATGACGTTACTCTGGGAGGATCATTGCCTGTGCAGCCCAACCATTGCCATGCCGTGTTCGTGGGGAGACATGGTTCCCCACTCCACCCTTTCAATTGCTCGAATGTACTTATCAATACTGTCAGTCCATCAACTGCTTGAATCATCAACATAAATGCAAATTATCAGACATAATTACTAGTCAGCATATGTATGTGCCTGTGTGTGTGATGGATGCCGCCCTGGGGAATGAGAAGCAAGGTGTTTTATAACAACATTTTGTACGCATTATTGGAGAGGGCTCAATAGTACTAATAAAGAAAAAGAAGCTAAAATCTTGTTCATTATACTGTGCAGATTTGTCTAATATTGTGTGCCACATAAGCACTTTGTCCTTACGATCATTCTGCAATGTTCTGGTTGTAAAAAGTGGATCACTGGCTGTGTACACTTCGATGGCACTGATAATTGGGGGCAATGTGGAAGTTTCTGCCGGGCGCAATTCAATCGTTAAAGAGCTGCTTGAATGCTGTACAAGGGCCCATATTCCTGTGCATGTCCCGTACTCTGTGGTCACAGTTGTTAGTTGCTTATTCCCCACATAAAACCCGAACTCTCTCGTCTCTGTCACCTCGTTCAATGACATTGCTGTGAAATACGCTTCAATGTTAATTAGGCTGTTTGTTTTAATAGGTCCAAAAGATAGAGTAATTGAGTCTGTAGCATTTTGAGCCTCCATAGCATCTAAGACAGCTGAATCCGGTGGATACTCATAAGGCGTAGAGGTTAAAATTGTTCCAGGATCAGCACTTCTATTCACCAGGCCAAGTTGAGCCTTTGGCTCCCACAATCTGTTGTACTTATCAGGGTACCTAATGGACAATGAGCAAACAATCAAAGTTCTTAGTTTTGCAGCCATATTCAAGATATTTTTATAAATTTGGAATCTATTCTCACCCTAGTATCCAGTCGTTGGCACCATAATTGTACCGGTAACTATTGAGCCAGGCCAGATCTCGATTCATATGAATGTACGCATTATCATCAAGAATTGGCCACGCTTCTAACGAGGAAATAAATGGAAATTGGTTCACCATTGTTCGAGCTAAGCACACACTAATAGTATCTCCCACGCTAATATAAATGATCTCATAGTGGAGGATTTCCGTGGAGGAGCTGACAACAGTCATCCATTTATTTCCATCGATCTCAAGATCGAAAGTTGGTGGCTTCGATAGGTGGTCATAATTGCCATATAGAAAGACGGCTCTGACAAAATATCTTGTGGTGGCGAGTGCTGGAAGCGCATAGCAATTTTTGTTCTGAGTAGTGAAGGTGCGAAGGGTATTGAGCAGGCCCAATGTTTGGAAGTCATCACTCGAAACGAATTGGTTAGTGCCTGTTTTAATGTATGCTTCATCTGTTTGCCACACTCCTCCTATAGTTGTGGTCCTAGTTTCTGATCCACAGTCAATCCCCAGCCAGGTAACTAGAGAATTTAATTACAAAATTATAGTTCTCATGAAAAAAAAAAAAAAATCTGCTTTAGATCCTCCTCCATGATATATCAAGAAAAACAGAAAATAATAAGAATGACAAGAACTAAAGGATTTACGTGGAGAACTTCAAAATTGGATGAACACCACGGACAGAAAAGACAGAATTATTGATATCTTAGGTTACATGAGCAATCAGATTTCAAGATTGGTTCTCAAACACCGTCCGGTGGGGTATGCTAGGGGTAAAATCCCATATTGAATAAAGATAAAAATATTAACTACCATATAAAGACTTGAGCTACTATTTTTAATAAGGTTAACCTTTTAACCCAAGTACAAATTGAACGAGAAGAGAAATTACAACTACCTTGGGCAAAGGCTTTGAGATTGAACAGAGCCAAAAACAGCAGAACCCATTTCTCCATTGAAGTCTATGCATCTCATCTTTCCATCAAAATGAAATGAACTGAATTTAAAACTCTGCTTCTTGTTGTTGTCACACTATCTGTTCAAATCTTTAGATAATTGCAATCGAATAGAAACTTTTCCTGTCTTTATCAGTATTGTCCAAGTAACTTAGAGACAAAATTATCCAATCAGATAGAGATTTCAATATTTCTTGACCAGTTATAATATTCGTTCGAGGTTAATTTACGCGTTGTGTACCCAAGAAAAGTTGCTGCATGAATCTATTGGCTGTTATGGTGGTGTTGATGTTCACTGTTTTTAAATAATATGCTTTAGACTAATAATAAATATGTACCAGTCTTTTTACAAGACAAGCAGAAGAAAACGTATCAGTAGTAATTTTTCTTCGAAACTCTCGTTGGAGAACATAAAAGCTTTTAAAACACCCGACGAGGGGAGCTACCAGCACATATACCCGATAGACGGATATAATGCAGGGACGGATGGATATCAGGATTCTATTCATTTAAGGGATTAGAGAAGAGATAAATTCATACTTCAATTTGACCATAAAATTCTTTTTCATTAAATGTTTAATAAATGCTAATTTTCATAAATATACGTATTTTTGTCTTTTCTTTCTAACCTGCATCTATATTATATAGAAGAGAATTTATTTTCATAAATAAGTGGCGAAATTATTTCCACAATAAAGTAAAGCTCGACTCTTTTTTCCGTTATTACATCTTCATGAAACTCCAAGAACGTTGTAGGAATTTGATAAGAGTGAGAAAATAATATTTGTTGCAAAGCTCATGTTTTTTTTGTTGAATTTTAATTGCATGCTAAGAATTAAGAATCACAATACAATAAATTAATAAAACGAATTCATACCTACGGAAGTCATTGTTGATATGAATTATAGTTGTAATAGTAGTTAAGATCTTCCTCTCCTTTCTCCTCACAAAAGTATTAGCTATCAATGGGGCAAGCTAATGAAACATATATGGAGAGGAGAGGGGACCTAGCCTTTATATATAGGAAATAATTTGAGCCGTCCTATTACGACTAGAATTCTAATTAGAGTTTATTTTCGGCCCACATACTTTAAACTACCATATAAAATTAATTACAACACGTAAGGTGTAAAAGGCCCAATTGTTCACTTAATAAATTTGGTCCAAACACAAATATCATTATGAGCCATATATTTAACCCGTAAAATTTTGCAACCGAATGTGAAAACCACATATGGAATTATTAATTATTACAACATTCTCCCACTTGGGCAAACATTTGATTGCCATAACAAAGTTTTAACTCCTGGGTTAGACTACATAGGTGGCCACAAAAGTATAGCTCCAATGATGACACCTCACGTAACATGATCCGGTCCAACAAGAATATTAACACCGAACATGGAAGTCATTACACCAATTAAGCGATGTAAGATCATTCCACAGTTACAAATGCCAACATCCTTGTCGACATGGATCCCCACCCTCCAACCAATGTGGTAGTATGTAGTATGAACTTAGCACCAAATGTGATAAAAAACTGTGCTAACTCATATCGATCCTCATAATGCTTCGAATCAAAATGAAGCCACATGTCTCCAAAAGAGACTCATCTTATGTCTTTATACGTCATATTTCGGGATCACAATAATATTATGAAAAGACATAAGTCAAATGCATGCTCAAGATAATTCATGGATAGGGGAAAAATTATTTTATTATCAGAAGGGGCTGTACCCGAAAACATATAGGTTGCCTATGTACCTCGCAAGGGATCAAGCCCAAAACGTAGTTCTTACATAAATAACTCCCACTAACCAAAAATATTAAATGTTTCCACAATACTCATATTAGTAACATGTGTTTTAAAGACTTTTGGAGCGAGTCCCTTAGTCAAGGGATCTGCAACCATCGCCTGTGTATTGATATGCTCTATTTTCGTCTACCCTTCTTTGACTCTGTCTCTAACAATCAAATATTTGATGTCAATATGTTTTGGTCCACCAGAACTTTTATTATTCTTTGAAAAGAATACTGCTGCACTCTTATCACAGTAGATGATGATCGGTCTTGAGATGGAATCAACAACTTTCAAGCCAGAGATAAAATTTCTTAACCAAACGGCTTGGACTATAGCCTCATAACATGCCACAAATTCAGCTTGCATAGCAGAAGATGCTACTAAAGTCTGTTTAACACTTTTCTGAGAAATGGCCCCACCAGCTAATGTAAAAATGTAACTTGAGGTTGATTTCAAATCATCTTGACATCCAGCGAAATCAGAATCTGAATATCCTACCACCTCAAGATGATTTGTACGCTGGAATGTAAGCATATAACTTTCAGTTTTCTTCAAATATCTCATAACTTTCTTAG